GCACGTGCATGCGTCATCACGGCGGCAGCAGCTCGTGCTTCGACCTTGTATGGCGTCTTGATGAGGGAGACTTGATGGTGATGATGATGATGAGGCCTGGACCCCTCGCTAATGCCCCGACATACACGCGTAACACGGCCGCGTCTCTCACACAGTAGTTACGCATGCACGCGTCCCCCGCCCGCCCCGCTCGCTGCTCTCTCAGCACATGTCCGCTATTACGCTTAAGCTAGGGGTCACGTGGCGAGGCTTCGTAAGTCGGCAGATGCAGGGGGCTGCGGGGGGGGGGGGTCTGGTGGAATCGTTCGCCTTCCTACAAATTTATCGCGCGGAACATCGTGGAGTTTACGATGGATTTCGCATTTTACGATAGACCGACGCAAGGCTGCTATCGCGTATGAAAGAATGCGCGCGTGCGTGTCTTGCGTGCATCACATCACGTAGCCGACTACTACCATCTACTGTGTGGTATACACGCAATCAAAGAGAGAGAATGCCGAAGCGCAGCTAATTATGTTAATGAAATTAACAACAGAAACAATGCAGCAACCATCACTGTCTCTCACTCACACACTCACTCATCAGTCTGATTAATAACTGCAACGTGTGACGTTAAAAACCTTTCCCTATACAACAAGTTGCGTTACAGTGGTGTGATATTGCGTTGTATCAGCGCTTATATCTATCTATATACACGGTTGTGTAGCTCACACGAGCGCAACGACACAGTTTCACGAGCCATTCTAATGAGAGCGCATAAAGCGAGAGTATAAAGCTTTACGCATATAGGCCCTGCATAAAGATTAGCTATCAGTGCTATACATAGTTGCATTTATGCATTTACATGGTGGCATCGACGATGTAGGTCCACGAGGCTATAACTACATGTTATACATGCTACTATACTATACTATATATGCTATACTATACTATATATGCTATATCCATATATATACATATGCTGTATACATGCTACTCTACTATACTATATATATGCTATATATACATATGCTGTATACATGCTACTCTACTATACTATATATGCTATACTATACTATATATG